AATTACGAGCTCAGTTACAGAACGAATTAAACCCAAGTCAAGGTATCAGTGTTTAATTCTAAGTCAAAATCTGCACTTTAACACTTTTTTATAATTAACGACCGCATAACTAATACCCAATCACTGTATAATAAATATGCAAAAATTGGAAGTAAAAATCACCTAATTATCCAATTGGAATTTATACATCAAATTAGCTGAGGGTTATTCTGACAAAAACAAAACCACCCTTAAGAAAAGAAATGTAAACTTTAATCAATTTTGCACACAATGATAGCGAACATCGCAATCTACCAAGTAACAAAATAAGTTTTACTGCTGAATAAAAAACAAAGGCAATCATGCACAAAACAGAAAACAAATAAATTTTTTCTATCACGTTCACAAAAATTTCGAATATCATTTTGAAAATTGCGCAAAAAGCATAAATGACACTTGGTTTTGAAAAAAAATTAGATGCAAAGGCATCTTAATTATGAGGTATTTCTTGTATTTTTTGTCTAAGTTTAATGTGAGGGCCATAAAGCAATGTTCTGGCAAAAGTAACAGAGTATTTGGCGTTAGGAAAGAGCATCACCCGTTAAAAGCATAAACAAACCTGAAAATCATAGCGGTATCATAATTTTGCAAAATAAACCACAAATAACAACACTATAGATGCGTACAACAAGAAACTCAACAGGTCGCTGCAAATAGTCGAGTAAGAAAGAACAGAAGAAAAATCAACAGACAAAAGCATAAAAGTGGAGATGGCACAAATTAATAACAGATCAATCTTCGTTCATGAACATGTCACCATTGGTGATGAGGTCGCGCTCAGAAGTGCGAATCAACTCGGTGCCAAAATAGCGATCTCCGAAATTTCCCAGACCAGGCAAGATGTGATAATCACAAGAGAGACTCTTGTCGATTGCGGTAGTGACAAGCTGGACGCTGGGGAATGCGTAGGCGACGCTCTGGATGCCGGTCTCGGCCATAAGCAGCGATAGCAACGTAATGTTTTCTTGTGGGACGTCGTGGTCCAGCAGGATCCTGATTGCCATTACAGCTGCCGCGCCTGTAGCTACAGTTGCGTCCATCAGCAGAACGTGATATTGGTGTATGTCTTTTGGCAGCCGTAGGTAGTAAAGTTCTGGTTCCATCGTCAACGGATTCGTTTGAATAAGCATCTTGCTGATCGTACAGTCCTTCAACACTTCTCTCAAGGCGATCTCCATCGTCTCAC